TCGTGCAAACAATGATTTTCAATTGGTGGGTTACTTTGGGTTAAAATAGACAACATGCGCAGTGTGCAATGTTACATCTTCGGTCTCTTTAATCTAAGTTTATACCCAAATACCAATTCAAAAAAAAGAGTATTGGATGAGTCCTTGTTTTGTAGGTTCTGTTCTTAATCGAAAAGTGTTCCTAGGTGTCCTCCTTTTCGATATTTTAAAACTAATCTGAGTAACCCGTTTATCTCTGTATTTTGATACTCTACCTGCAGCATTTACCGTAAAATTCAATATGAAGGATATTTCTTGCTCCAAAATTTTCAATATATTGACGAAAAATATTCATTCAATTAATTAATTCAATTAATTTATTTAATTAAAAAATTAAAAGGGATGTAAGCATAATAGGTGTATTATTGTTTGAATAAATAAAATGTTTCATTTTTGTACTATTTTTTTAAATTTGTGCGTCCTCCTTTTCATGATAAAAAAATTGGACGCCTTATAAGATTATAAATGCAGATGTATACATTCCAAATAAGAATATTATTTTGTCTTATTTAGACCATACCATTACAAATAAGGCCATTTATAGGTTATCAATAAAATCGAGTTTTATTTCTGTCATCAAAATATAATCCAGTCCACACTGACAAAATACATCGTAAACGTGTATTTGACCTTCTTCAAGTTTAAACTGATAAATCGCTTAAATGATGAATTAATTTACTTAGTTATTCATAAAAATAATGGATAACACAATTCGATTTATCATTTGCCTTCAACTGATAACGTTTGGAGTATGTATTTGGTTGTCACTTAATAACAATTTATACAGGATGTCACATAATGAAATGTATACAATGCAGTAAGTACCTAGTAGTTTATTTTAGAATTTGACAAGTTTACTATGTAATTCATTATAAAAAACACACTTTCTATAATATCCAATTTCATTATTTTGATGTTTTAAGAAAGCCATTAACCTTGTAAAGTATTGAAATGTACATACAGGGTGGGCCAACGAAAACTTTACACCCTTATTTTCCGGCTTTAATCGAAAATCGGGAAAAAGCTAGAACCCGTCGATTTTTAATTTGAGGGGGAACAACTTGTTTGGTTTTTTCATCCATGTAACTTCAACCCTCTAACAAGGGGAAGCACAACCCCCTGTTTTGGAATGGGGGTGAGGGGTGTTACAATACCTCATTTTAAAGATCTCATCGAGTACTATCTGACCCCAAAATTTCGCGTCAAAATTTTTATCGATAACGGCTAAAACAGTGAAAGAGACAATGTGGAAAAAATGTCTATTTAATAACAAAAAAAGAATACTTACTTCTGTGATTAGTTTATTAAATGCTGGAAATGGTCACCATTCACTTCCATGCAGTAAAATAAGTTTTGTTTACCCTAAGGATAATTATTCTTATTAGACTGGTATTTGAGAAGTATTTATTTTTTATTTTATGGATGCACCATTTACTCGATTTACCTCAGTTTATCGTAAATTTTTGAGAACGTTGACATCGTGTCTACTCGATTGATATTTTTTTAGTAGAATTAAAATGGTATATTGAGTGGGGGAAAGGGTGGAAATTATTAAATTGTTTATTTGAAATAACAAGCGACAGCGACTTTATTTAACAAACGTCATCCTGAAAAAAATGTCTCCGCTGCTTACATTTTGCAACTGGTTTCCAAATTTGATGCCAAAAAAATTATCGTACAACCTGTTTGTCAAATTTTGGATGAGAATTTTAATCAAAGCTGGTTTGGAAAAAGAGGGCATATTGAGTGGCCACTCAGGTCACCAGATCTGAATCAACTGGACTTTTTTCTAAGGGGTTATCTAAAATCTAAGATTTACGCTACCCAGTCCGAATCACTGGATGATTTGCGAAATCATATAATTAATGAATGTCGTCAAATTACACCCGACATATTGCGTAATGTATGGGAACGTTTCGAACAAAACTTATTTTACTGTATGGAAGTGAATGGTGACCATTTCTAGCATTTAATAAACTAATCACAGAAGTAAGTATTTTTTTTGTTTATTAAGTAGACATCTTTTCCATAATATCTCTTTCACTGTTTTAGCTGTTATTGATAAAAATTTTGACGCGAAATTTTGGGGTCAGATAGTACTCGATGAGATCTTCAAAATGAGGTATTGCAACACCCCACGCCCCTATTCAAAAATAAGGGGTTGTGCTTCCCACTGTTGGAGGGTTGAAGTTACATGGATGAAAAAACCAAACAAGTTGTTCCCCCTCGAATCAAAAATCGACTGGTTTGAGTTTTTTTCCCGATTTTTATTTTAAAGCCGGTAAATTGGGGTGTAAAGTTTTCGTTGGCCACCCTGTATACAGTGCTTTTATTAAGTGTGAAAACGCGCCATTATCTTAAGAGTTAATTATTTTCGGAGGAAAAGCTCAAACAGGTGGATTTTCATTTTCCTTTTCAAAAAAATAATTTTTACCCCCATTATCTTACAATTTTTTAAGGGAATATTTTTACACCTTACACCACCAGTGGCGGGTCGTGGCCGAGTCTAAGGAGGAGGGGGTACTTTTGAAATGAACTCAGGATACATTAAATTTATCAAAACTTACCTAAACACTTTAGGTGATCCGATAGGTAGTATACTTGTTTTTGTTATTGTTGTATTATTAACTCGTCTGTAGGTACCTGGCAAAATCGCATTTTTTATATTTGATACGTAAATTTTGTTTTTTATTTGTTCTCATTTAGCGCACTTTTTTAACCTAAGTATTTCATGACTATACTATTCTATATACACTGAGCTGACCTGATCCCGCTTAGCTTGAATTTTTTAAATCTCAATTATTAAAAGTAAATAAGTTTTCGTTACCCGAGAAAAATTTTTTCATGCGATACCTTTAATAAATTTTTATTTATTTCTATTTGTTAATTATTATTTTTATTTATTTTTTATCTATTTATTTTTATTTATTATTCCAATTTTCAAGTTCCTACCTTTAAAAAACCGAAAGTCTCATACAAACTTTCACCTCCAGTTTCGCCCCTTAATGTCTATTTATTTATAATAAGTATAGTTACAATCCTAATTTTCAATTTTCTACCTTTAAAAAATCGATACTTCCATACAAACTTTTAACCCCCGTTTCCCCAATTAAAATGTGAAAATCCAAAAACTCTGAAACACGTCATTAATTATTTATGCTCAGTAGCTGTATTTCAAATTTTCATGTTTCACTACCACTATGCAAAAATCATATCTGTCAAAACAAATCGATCCCACGTTAATCGTATATTTTTCCGGGATAAAAAGTAGCCTATGTGCTATTCCAGGCTATAAGCTATCTTTGTCCAAAATTTAATCCAGATCCGTTCAGCCGTTCTTGCGTGATTAAGCAACAAACATCCATCTGTCCATCCAAACTTTCGCATTTATATATAAGTAAAATTAAACTTTTTAAAACGAGTTTTAGGTAAAATCGTCATATTTTGGGTCAAGGATTATCCAGTTACAATATGGCAATTATTAATTTTATTAATTTATTTATTATTAATTTACTATGTTGATGACTGATGTGATAAGAGAATACATATAATTGATTTTGTAGAAAAAAAAACTGCAAAATAATGTTTTTACCAGTTTTTCTCTGTAAAGACTATTTTTTTTACACTGTTTAACAGGATAAATCCTAATAACTAAACAGGAAAAAAAGAACTAATAATATGAAACAAAATATTCTTAAATTTACAGAAAATAATAGTAATAATGTAGACTTAATATTTGGAATACAAAAATTAAATATATCTATCTTGTTGCCTAAAATATTACATTGCTCACACATCGTATGCAAAGGGGAAAACATTAAGACATTTGTTCGTGCAATGGGTAGTTAGAAGGTAATTTCACTTCTTAACAAAATTCTAGGAACATTATATTTCAGTCTTGACAGTTTACTTTATTATGAAGCACTTTATATAAAAAACTCACTGCACTACAATTCCGTCGTGCATTTAGAATATCCACATTGTGCCGAGTTGTTAAAAGATTGTGTGGTATTCCATCGATTCTAAAACTTAAAGGATTTAAAAACTTTCTCTGAATTGACTCAAGCTTATTAGTTATCAGTTGATAACCAGGATTCTAAACTGTTGATCCATATTCAAGTTTGGATCTAACAAAGCCATAATGTTTTGAGAGTTGACAAGTCTTTAAATTCGTTACTGACTCGAACGATCCACAAAAGTTTCAGGCATTACAAAGACATTATTGGCAATTTTATAATTAAAATATATTACATTAGATTTTAGGGAGAATAACATAACACGATATTTAGAAGTGCTAAGAGATAATTTATTGAGTTTACATCATCTTTCAATACTCAGTAAATTACGGGCAAGGCGTTCACAGTCTTCAATACTGAGGATATAATGAAAAATCTTAAAATCATCAGAGAATAACAGAACGTCAATATCAATACTTCGGTTTATATCACTGATGAACATTAAAGGACCAAGAACCGATCCTTGAGGTACTTTTAAAAATGCAAGATATTCGACAGACTTAGACCCTTTACAGAAGACATATTGTTTTCTATTGGACAAATAGGATTCGATAAGTTGAATAAGTGATTTCGAGAGCAGGAAAGTTGCGAGTTTGTTTAAAAGAATACCGTGGTCAAGCCTATCGGAGGTTTTGGAGAAGTAATGAAATAAAGGTGCGACAATAAAAGAATAAAACGAACTAATTGCAGATCTGTTAGAGACCATGTTATTCATTAAGTTTTGAGTCTTCATCAATATCCGTATCTTACGTGACTAAATTGATGTTATCAGTTGGTTAAAAATAACATTTATAACTTCAATAGTAACTCTAAAACTATGTCAATGACCTCAATTTTCTTTCAATTTCTTGCTTCACAAGATCACCTGTATGGAATACGGGTATCGTTGGAGACTCGTTATATTGTGCATAATACAAACCATATTAAAAAAAAAATGTTACTTACCACGACAACATGTTCGCATTTGAGTTGTTCCTCCGCAGCCTCGAGCAATGCTACGAAAGCCTCGCGAGAACCCTCGGGCAATACCTGGGGCGGCAACGCAACGTAGAGCGTGCGGCCCCTAAGTACTGCGTCCCAGGGTTGGCGGGCGGTGCGGAAAGTTAGCCGCAGCGGTGGCGGCGACGTGCCCCTGGATTCCCCAGGGGCATCAGGACCACCACAGAGGCCCGGCACCCAGAGACATATTGTAGCATTCGGCTTCGGACGCGCTACTGGCGGACCGCTTACTACTCAACAGCGTACTTCTGGAACAAGGGAGGAGTTAGAAAAATGTGTAAAGCGGATTTTATACTAGGGTTGTCCATAAAATAAGGTATCCAATTTTTTTTTTTTTAACAAAGAAAATCACTTTTATTTGCGATGAACTATATATTGTTGGAAAGCCTGGGCTTTCCACTATTTTCTATATAATTTTCGTTGCGATCGATGCAATTTTGCATTCAGTGTAGCATTTTTATAGAACTACCCCACCGCGACGCACAGGTCGCGTACAGCCACTTCTTTAAGCAACACGTCGGTCCTGAAATTTGCCCCTCTCTGGTGTGAATTCGACACAGGAAAGACATTATCACAGTACATCCACCTTGATAGATGATAATCACTGGTTGTCCCGGTCCTGGTAGACATGAACTCGAACAAAAAAATTCCCTTTCTGTCCCAAAACACAGTCGCCACATCACTTTGCCGGCAGACAATGTTTAAACTTTCGCGACTGCAGCGATCCTAAGTACTGAATGTACTAGTAGGCTTGTTTTGGTTCTTTTACGGACTAGTTCAGAATCAGTGAATTACACTCGTTCAGCTCAATTGGTTATTATATTATCGCGACTTATTCTTGAAAAATTAATTCGTCAGCTGTATTTGTGAACTAGAATCAACGGTTCTGTTTGAACCAAAACAAACCCAGTATTTCTTCTTTGTACCGCAGCAGGAGAGTTCTATGACACGGGTATACGAAAAATGCTACACGGCATTCAAAAATGTGTCGATCGCCCAGGCTTCCCAACAAATTGCAACATTGTAAATAATCTTTGTGAAAAAAAAAGTCCTTAACTTATGGACTACCTTCGTATTATCAAAATTCCTCATTCATTCATGAATAATTGGGTTTTCAAATTTCTAACAGTTCGTGGGTTTAAAGTAATTTTACCTATAAAAAAATTGAGGGGAATCTTGTTTTCCTGTAACAAAAGCAAATATTTTGGAAATGAAAAGGTTTAAATAGTGATCTTTACAAGAATTGTCTGATATTCATTGACAATTTAAATTTACTTCACAGCGAAGTTATTTGAATTTTGGTCTCTTGTAAAAAATCAAAATTATGTTATAATGCCAAAGAAGGCCGCAGAGCACCTAGGGAATTTTTAGTTAAAGTTGAACTTTATGTCACATTTTAGGCTATTTTTAGTACCTTTAAATATTATAAAAATTTTCGAAAAGTAAATACTCATTTATTAATTTAATTCAAGGTTTGTGACCAATCTTCCAAAAATTGTCCAAAGTTTTCACCTGCTTCTGATGAAATGTTCTTCAATTGTCATTATTTGACTTCCACCTTCATCTACTGCAGGCTATCTTTTAACCATGTTTTTTTTTTTATTATTTAATGATTCCAAAAAAATACATGGTACCTACATAAATTGAAACTACCATTACTAATCAAACATTGGAAAAAAGTTCAAGTTAAAAATACAAATTAAAAATGACAATGTAGAAAGTCATCCAGTGGAAGTAAACTTAACAAAATCAAACAATTATTGGCTGAAGGCCTCTGTATTACTTATTAGTCCTAAGACCATAGAAAAGGAATTAATCTCAGCTTAAAATCACAAAATGAGCTTCATTCAAAATAAGTAAAGCATAAGTAAAGAATAAGTTTTATAATATCTGGAGAGCCTAAAAATAGCCTGCATGCATAGTTGTTTTGAGAAAAAACATTCAATAAACCGAAAATCTCTGCTGGCTTCGTACGAAGCATAGCAAAGCAATTAAAATTGGATTACCTATAATTTAAAACTGACCATCTAACTTAACTAGCTAACAGATATAATTTTATTTATATAGGTAACTAGAATTCCTATAATTGCTTATAATATTTCTTAGAGCCTAAAAATAATCAAAAATGTAATCGGGTTATTTAAAAAAAAATTAAAAGGCCGAAGTTTTTCGTTTGAAGCTGGCAAAGCTGCTACCATTTTTTTTAAATTTCATATATCAAGACCCTAAAAATATGGTGTTTGTAGAAAAAAAAACCTAGGAGCTCTACTTATTTCATTCAAAGTTAGCAAAGCACCCAGTACCGCAATTTTTCTGCAATGTTTCATTTCAAGGGCATTTTCAGGTTCTAGTGGGTATATAAAAAAATTAAAATTAAAAAGCCCGAGGTTCTCTTCTTCGTTCAAAGCTAGAAAGCAAAAATAGCAATTTTTTTTAGAATGTTTCATAATATTTCAAGAGCCTAAAAATAGCCAAAAACTATGGTGCTTATTAAAAAAAAAACTTTAAAAGGTGCTCTGCTGGTTAGAAAAGCAGCCAGTATAAATTTAAAAAATAGCAAATTTGTCAAAAGTGTTTTATATTTCAATAGCCTAAAAATGTGAGGTGGTTATTTTTGAAAAAAAAAAAAAAAGTGCTCTGCTGGCTTCGTTGAAAGCATCTCGTACCTATTTTTTTCGATTTTTTTTATAATATTTCAAGAGTCAAAAAATACAGTATGGTTAAAAAAAACCTTTGAAAAACTGGAGAACATCAAATTTTTGAATAGGATATAAAAATAGCCTAAAAATAGCCTAAAAATATGGCTCGAAATGGCCTAGGTGCTCTGCTGTCTACTTTGGCATTATTTTTAGTTTATTGTATGATATAACTTAAAAATCAACTCAAGCGTCAGTTTATTTGTTTTCCAACATTTTATCTTATCGAAAAATGTGTTGTCTAAAAACGTTTGTAACATTGCCAAGAGAGATGTAAAATAACTATATTTATGTATAGCCATAATCCAGAAACGTAATAGTCATTAGGCGAAAACCTTTTATTTGCTTCTAATTATAAATGTATAAAATTCTTAATTCATCAATATAAGTTCATAAATGAGAGGGGAGCTAAAAAATGATATGTTACGAGTATTACAAATTAAAAATTTAAAAAAACCTACTTCAAAAACGTGCATATGCCATCACCACATCTTAACCAAGTTTATATGGAACCACCCCTGAGGTACCCCCTTACTAACAAAAAAGAATCATTAAAATCGGACACAGTGTTAAAGAATTATCGCTGAACATACATAAAAAAAAGAGAAAAAAAATATCGCGACGAATTGAGAACCTCCTCCTTTTTTGAAGTCGGTTAAAAAGAGTTTTCTATTCAATTTACAATTTACAGTTCCTACTCGACATTTTTCATAAGATGAATTCAAACAGTACCTATTTAAAAAATTAAAATATTTAAACAATTCCATAAATTAATATCCATTGGTGAAAATGTACGATAATTTTAATTAGGATTGGCACGGATTGTTTCAATGATTTAATTCGTGAATTACTTTTTCCAAAAAAAGTCACGAATTATTTAAAATGTTTACCAATAAGAACAAATTGCATTATTATCTTCTAATCCAACTGAAATATCTGGCAACCGGAACTGAGTAGAAATAAACATCTGACAAACAAGCAGCGCTCACAATAAGCTATATTAGTATGATGTAATTTGTGTTCTACTGACCGTTGACTTTGAGCAAAAACAAACCATCCTGTCGTCCATTATGCCATATACAGTAACGCATAAATTCATTATTAGTTAAATAATCAATAATATTAGAAATTCCCCAAACAGGTCGATTTTTGATTTTCATTTACTATGCGCTAGTTCAGTGATGATGTAATTATGGTTCCACTGACAATTAAACTGACAGTAGATTTTTGAGTGCGTTTTGTTCGTTTTGTTTACCTAAATTATATCGTTTCTTCAGGGTTACCAGGTTTTTGAAAGAGATGACAGACAGACAGGGAATTTTAGGGGAAATAGGGGGAAGTAAAAATAACTGTCTATTTTCATTTTTTTAATCAAAATTACTTATTTTGTAAAAAATCGGTACCTATTTTTTGGTAAAGATAGACGAGGTGTTTCAAATAATAAGGTGAAAATGTTTTCTGACTTTAGATTTCGATTTGCGATTTCTCGATTTTCTAACTTTACATTTTCACCTTATTATTTGTAAAATCACCTCAGTGTATCTTGACCAATATTAGGTAAGGATTTCTTTCAAAATAAGTAATTTTGATTAAAAGAGTAAAAATAGACGGAGTTGTTTTTACTTCCCCCTATTTCCCCTAAAATCCTCTGTCTGTCCGTCATCTCTTTCAAAAACCTGGTAACCCTGCGTTTCTTCAATTTTATAAATATATTCCTAAAGTAAGTAAATAACATGCATCAAATATACAATCGTTTAGTTACCAATTACATACCTTTAAACTATTTTTTATGACCTGTAAAAATATTTAGAAATAAACTAAAAACAGTAAAAACGTATACGTCAAATTTATTGACGTATTTGTTAAAAGTTTGGTTAGAATTAAATGTCAGTGGAACCAAAATGACATCACCCCGAACTAGCGCATTTTCCAAATTATAATCTAATATACAGGGCGAACCAGCTTCGTGTGATGACGTCATCACCATTTTTTTTAAATGGAACCCCCTTTTTTTCAATTTCCGGATTTGCCTTGCTGAGCTGATTCCAAAAATGTATAACACGTTGCTTCAAATTGGTAAAGAAAGGGCAAAAATACAAAAAAAAATATGAAAATTGTTTATGGAAAGTTATGCGTTACTGCATGTAATAAACAAATTAAATGGAATTACGTAGTTATGCAATTACTGTGATACACTACCAAAAACAAACAAACAAAAATTTACAATAAATGTTCAAACTGTTCTCCATTGATCGTTAGACAATGACTAAACCGAGCAGTACTTTAGTCTCTAACATTCTGTAGCATAGCGGGTGTTATGTTCTGTATTTCTTGTCTAATTCGGTCTTGTAGTTGACGGATATTTACCAGCTCTGTTTGTGTAGACTTTAGATTTTAAATAACCCCATAAAAAGAAGTCTAATGGGCTCAGATCAGG